TGACGCATTCAGATGTCAGCGAGAGATGACCTTGGGGGCTGTGGCTCCCGCTCCCCCAGACACCGCACACAGAGATGCACAGAGACACACAAAGACACTCATACACACTCATACAGACACACTCACACACACACACACACCCAGACACGTGCAAGCCTCTCGGGGTCCTGTCCTGACATCCACGGGCCCCGCCCCTGGCCTGCTGGCCCTTCAGCCCTGCGCCCTCCCTGGGTCTTCCCTGCGCCCTTGCCAGCCCAGGACCCCGGGCAGAGCGCACACTCCAGGCATGCCCGCCCGGGGGCCCGTCCCGCGCTGCCTCAGTTCTCCGAGCCCGTGGCAGCCCAGTCCTGCAGGTTCCGTGTGGACAGCCTCTGTGCCTCGCATGGGAATGACGGGACAGGGCCTGGTCCCCCCTCCCCTCCCCGAGCTCCAGCACGTCCTCTGCCGCCGCCTGGCACACACCGGCCCAGAGGTCAGAGCCACGCACCTGGGCCTCTCCCTGGCTTTTCTCTGTCCCGGAGGCAGCTTCACAGGTGCCATGGCTGAAAGACCTCTGCTGGTGTCTCTAGGACAGGCCAGAGAGACAGAAACGTCAGAGCATAGCCTGTCCTGGTCAGTTGGGGCTTGCACGATGTGGGAGTCCGCGGCCTGGCGGCCGGGCATGCCTGGGGATGGTGTGACTCACTCATGGCTCAGCGCGAAGGCAGCGGGGCCCTCTGCCCCGCTCTGAGGCGGGGGCGTCTTTGTCACAGGGGGGCCAGGTGGCTGCCTGATACCCAGCCCCCAGGACCCCGGCCTCCTGGGTGTCCTCAGCCTGGCCCACCCCCCAGATCTCTGAGTATGTTGTTGGCATTTCACGGCTCATCTTCTTTTGGGAACACCTTCTGGATGGCTCCTAAGCCCCCGAGCTCCAGCCCACTGAGCCAAACGGGAAAGACCTACCATTTCCTCTCTGTGAGGACTCAGGGTTTGCTAGGATGATGGGTATTTCCCCCACTGTTAGATTTATATTTCTGTCCAAATTTAGAGCAATTGCAGTGTCTCGCTTTCCTAATAAGAATGTTATTTAAAATAATAAAAATCAGAGTCCAATACACCTATCAGTCGTCTTTTGAAAGCTGGGTTCACAAAGAAATTTTTGAAAAAGCGTCTCATCGTGAAAGGTCTGCTTTTGGGTCTGGGAATAATGGACAGGACAACATGGGGGTGGGGCATTCGTGGGCCGTGCCCTCCGTGCCCCGCGCTGAGGCTCTGGGGCCCGAGCCGCCACCCCACGCTGGCTTATACCAGGGGGCCCACCTCCAGGAGGCACTGGACGATCAGCACCTTGCTCTCGCGATGTCCTGGAGTGGACTCTGGCCTTGGGCGTGGTCTCTGGCTACCAGGCAGGTTGCCGCCTGGGGGCTCACAGAGGCAGGACTGAGGTCTGGGCCTGAGGGCTCTGAGTAGGATGTCCACCCAAGGTCTTTACAGAGAGCTCTGGGGGGTTGTGGCAGGCTTCAGGTCTGCCCTGGACAGCGATGGGGTCCAATTCACGCTTGTAAAGGCTTTGAGAACTTCTGGGACGCCCACGAGTGTCCCAGAGGAGCCCAAGGTCAGTGGCATGGACGCTGAGGCGGGACACCCAGAGCAGGTCACTCTGTGTTCACCGCGTCCGCATGAAGAATCACGACTTTGCTGATTTGTTCTTTAAAACAAACAGTTAACAATCAATACAAAGACTATGCTTCAATTGTAAAGATCTTACTTAAATTCAGTGAAACATTTAACGTGGGAGGTGACGCTTGTCCTGGAACGTTACACCTCACGCGTCCAGCAGGCCGCCAGGGTGCCCAGCAGTGCTCCTGCACGACCCACGTGACTCCAGGTTTGAGTCTTCGTGTGGGTGATCACGGAGGCTCTGGGAGGTTTTCATGCAGCAGATGTTTGCATGAGAGGAAATCTGTGCTACTTTAAGTCGCATAAATACGGCCGCTCCTCGTTACTGGAGGGTTCTCTGTGTGAGCCCCTGTCCCTGGGTCAGCTGGCTTGGCGGCTGGGACTCGGTACCCCGGCCGGGGTGACCGCACTGCATGATGTGTCCTCACTGCGCGGAGGCCGAAGTCCACGGTCGGGCGTGGGTAGGGCTGCTTCCTCCTGAGGCCTCACTCCTGGGTGGCGTGTGGACGCCTTCTCCGTGGGTGCTCAGTGCATAGCTCAGCCTCTCCTCCTGCGGCCACCCTGGCTCTGAAGCAACCTCTTCACTATGATTCCAGGGGCCTCCAGGGTGGTGGGGGCTGAGGCAAGGGGGAGTTTGCACACACGTGTGGGAAACAGCTGTGCCCACCGCTTTCTCTCCCTGAAGCTTTGGTGCTGGCTCACTGTGAAGGCCAACGCTCCAGGCCCGGCCGGCCACCCAGCAGGTGCACCTGGCAGGTGCCCCAGGGCCCGTGGAGGTCTCTGCAGCACATGGGATTCCTGACCCTGGAAGGGGCACTAAGGGGCGTAAGTGCCCGGGCACCTGGGGGACTGAAGGATCTTGGCAGACCCTGGGCCACCCTGAGCCGTGTAGCCCATGGGACGGGGCTGTGCTCAGCACCAGGCTGTCCCCTCTGCCTCCATCTCTGCCTGCAGTCCCAGACTATTTGAACGACCCCATGGAAGGCCACGGGTGGTGAGGAGAGCAAGGCTCTCCTCTCGGTGACCTTGTCGGGGGTCACCAGAAACACAGTCATTAGGACAAATCATTTCTTAATGTAATGTTTTAAAAAATCAAAATGAACGCAAAAAACCGCAATGCACAAAACACCAACATTTTATTTTTTTTTTATTTTTAAAAGATTTTATTTATTTATTTGAGAGGGACAGAGAGTGCACAAGCAGGGGGAGTGGGAGAGGGAGAAGCAGACTCCCCGCAGAGCAGGGAGCCCGATACGGGGCTCGATCCCAGGACCCCGGATCATGACCTGAGCCGAAGGCAGACACTTCACTGACTGAGCCACCCAGGTGCCCCAAAATACCAACATTTTTAATGAAGACAGATCAGCACTCCTGACTTTTCCTTCTGCCTTACGCTCCTTTGTTCCTTCTACGTCAAGCTCCCGGCAATGCCTGGCCCTGCCGGACCCTCCACAGAGGACCGTGCTGGATGGACACTTGCAGCACCAGGAGGAGGCAGCCAGAGCTGCCCGGCCCCCACCACTGGCACTGCCCCTGAGGTGGCCCCAGCCTGGGTGAGCAGCCTGCAGGGAAACCCCCTCCCCTTCCTCCAAGCCGTGTGCCTGGGCACGCAGCTTACCCTCTCCAAACTCCACTTTTCGGGTCTATGAAGTGTGTGTGTGGGGGGGTGCTGAGACTTACGTGCCATGTAGGGCAACCAGCAGAGCATGGCCCAGAGCAGGCTTGGGCAGGGAAGGCGCCTCCCCCCGCCCCCACTGCACTGACAATCTCCGCCCTACTTTGGCCTTTGTTGCCTGACATCTGGGGAATTGCGCCCCCAAATCATAAACTTGCAGAGCAAAAGTTGGCTCTTCCAGACTTTTCAGGACCCTTCACCACCGGGCTGGTGATGTGCAGGTAGCAGGTGCCGAGAGTGGGGAGGAAGGATTTGGTACAGAGCATGTGTGCGGGACGCTCTGAAGCTCCCGCTGCTCACACCGATTCCATCTTAGCCGCGTCAAATACACCCCTATTCGAGTGCCGTGAAGTGCTCTCCCATGACCGGCCAGGTCCAGCGGTGTGAGGGGAGTGTGTAAGGATACCCGAGCCCTTTGGGGATGCGCTTCCTCCACCAGCACGCCGTGGACACGGGTTAGAAGCTGCCCTGGGAACCAGAGGCACAAGGACGAAGAAGAAACTTCCCGCGCTGGACTGCGCAGTGAGGGGCTAGCTCGGGCGGGGTTGGGAGAGGGCACCCCCACCCTGCGGTGGGTGCATGTTACTATAGCGACGTGCTCCCCGGAGGCCAAGCTACCGAGGAACATACCAGGTGGCTGGTCCCATCTGAGTGGCAACCGGCCAGAGCCACAGCGGGAGGAGAAAAACAGTCCCTGGGCCTCGCAGGCAACAGTGACTGCCGGGCGTGTGGCCGGCCAGCGGAAGCACCTGGTGTGAGGTCACACGGAGGAGAGGTTGTCCGCAGGGATGATGTCCAGGTTGAGCCGCACAGAGAGCCCAGATACAGGCTTTCCACGCTCATAAGACCAAACCTGCCTCCCTGTCTGGATGCACAGACCCCATGTCAGCCCCACCCCCACCCCCGGTGCTGGGAATTACGGGCACTTTTCAATTGCTTCTTGGTATTTTCTGTTTTCCTTGAGATTTTTAAAACCACTCTATCCATTTTGTAATCAGGAAGAAGTAATAGAAGTAATTCTGTTTTGAAAAATGATACACTGGGGGCGCCTGGGTGGCTCAGTTGGTTAAGTGTCTGCCTTCAGCTCAGGTCATGATCTCAGGGTCCTGGGATAGAGCCCCGCATCGGGCTCCCTGCTCAGCGGGGAGCCTGCTTCTCCCTCTGCCTCTGCTGCTCCCCCCGCTTGTGCTCTCTCTCAAATAAATAAATAAAATCTTAAAAAAAAAGAAAAGAAAAATGTCCCCCAGGTGCTGTGAGATTTGGGGATCATGGGTATAGCCTCTGAGCCCACCCCCTCGTCTGTGAAGTGGGCATGAGGGTCCACTTATGGGGCGGCTGTGGCATCACCCCGGCCATGTAAGCAGGGGGTGCCCCCATCCCATCGAGGGGGATGAGAGTCTTCACCGTCCCCAGGTGAGTGTAGGGGCAGAGCCACAGGGAGAAGCGCCTTGGGGACATTGTCCTGCAGGTCCAGGGCTCCATGCTGGTCAGCGTCTCAGTGCCCGGGGCTGGGAGTGGCGGGCGCTCAGCTCAGGCCACATTTCTGCTGACCGGGCAGCCTTCCCCCTGAGCTCACGCTTTCCAGACAAATCCCCCTAATGCTTCCATTCTGTTTCGGGCGTATATAGGGAGGCCTCACCTCAGAGCTCTCCACTGCACTGCCCAGAGGCCCCTGCCCGACTCCCTGCCAGCCCCGGGTCCCTGCACTGCCGACGCCCAACATGGACATCGCCATCCAGCACCCCTGGTTCAAACGTGCGCTGGGCCCCTTCTACCCCAGCCGGCTGTTCGACCAGTTTTTCGGCGAGGGTCTCTTCGAGTACGACCTGCTGCCCTTCCTGTCCTCCACCATCAGCCCCTACTACCGCCAGCCTGTCTTCCGCAGCGTGCTGGACTCTGGCATCTCCGAGGTAAGACCTGCCAGTGTGCTGGTTTCTCTTGCTGGTCGGAGGCGGGCCCAGCCATGGCTGCAGGGGAAGCAGGGCTTTCTGAGGGCCAGCCCGGGGCAGAGGTGGCACCGTGCCCCACGTCTGAGGTCTTCCGCCTGGGTGGGGCCACTCTCCCGCCGCGGTCCGCGGTGGCCCATGTGACCTGCAGCAAGGAGCCTCCCGGGCCTATGAGAGAGGGTCTGGAGAGGGAGCCCAAGCCCACCCACTGTCTTTCCTGCTGGCAGCTCATGACCCACGTGTGGTTTGTGATGCACCCGCCACATGGTGCAAGCCCCAGGAGCAACCCCACCGAGGCGGGTTTGGTGGCAGGTGTGGGTTTTGTGGTCCCGGCTCTCCACACTGTTCCTTCCAGCAGGAAGCCTGGGTGGATGGGCTGCACCACCCCAGGCCCCCAGAGGAGAGGTTCTTGAGCACTAGTTGGTGCTGGAGGAGAGGCTGATGGTGGAGGACAGGGCGGGCAGCAGGTCCTCGTAGGGCTGTGGCCAGCAGAGCCGCAGAGAATGGGCTCTTCCCCAGCCCGCCCGGGTGCACAGGGCCCAGCCCAAAGGGAAGCGATCAGACCACTGGCCTTCCCTCCTTGAGCCCTGTGGCGGACCCCAGGGTCCAAGGGTCTGGAGGGGCTAGGTATCCCCCACTGCCCAAAAGCAGAGGCCTGCTGGGAGCAGTGTTAACCCACTCCAGAAACGAAAGGAGCCTGGCTGAGGGCTGCCAGCGAGCTGGTGAGGGCAGCTCGGAGGGAGACACTGTGTGCGAGCGGACAGCTTCTCCCAGCATGTCCTCGTGGGAAAACAGGCCCCGGGCTGTTTATATAGACACTAGCGAAGCCAAAGGCTACGACCTTATTCAAAGTGCTAGGTCCAACCAGCCAGCCAGCTGACCCAGAACCGGTCTCCTAACCCATACCCAATCGGCCAGCTAACCATAACCAGCCACAGTTCATCCCCAACGAGGCAGTCAACGGACACCCCGCCTTGAGGCCCAAGTGTCCACACGGTCCCGAGCCAGGGGTCCCCGGGACTCTGTCCCCTGGGTGCGTGGAAGGGGTTTCTGTGCTGGTGACTGGGGCCCGAGCCGCTGGCCCCCAAACGCTGGCTGCTCTGGCCAGCCCCGCCGCAACCTCGGCCCGGGCAGACCCACATGAACCGCGTTGGGGTTTCAGGTCCGATCTGACCGAGACAAGTTTGTCATCTTCCTGGATGTGAAGCACTTCTCTCCTGAGGACCTCACTGTGAAGGTGCTGGAGGACTTCGTGGAGATCCACGGCAAGCACAACGAGAGGCAGGTGAGTCCGGGGGCGCCGCTGCCTCGCACCCGCCTTCTTGGGGCTCTGCCCTCACCTGCCCGCCCTCCCTGGAAGACCTGGGACAGGGAGGGGGCTCCTGAGCCCTTGCAGGGGAGGGGCCTGCAGGGACGCCCACTCGGGTACTGCCCGCCGCCCCGGCTCCTTCCAGTCTCAGCGGGAACCCTCCCCAGGGCATTCTGGCCCTCCTACCCCACCGTGGGGTCCGGGAGGACCTTCTCCACGTGAGGTGGGGTGGTGTCTCACTGCGCCCTTCCGCACGCCCTGCCCAGGACGACCATGGCTACATTTCCCGTGAGTTCCACCGCCGTTACCGCCTGCCTTCCAACGTGGACCAGTCGGCGCTCTCCTGCTCCCTGTCCGCGGACGGCATGCTGACCTTCTCCGGCCCCAAGGTCCCGTCTGGCGTGGATGCTGGCCACAGCGAGAGAGCCATCCCCGTGTCTCGGGAGGAGAAGCCCAGCTCTGCGCCCTCGTCCTAAGCTCGGCCTCGGCCTCGGCTGCCACCCACTGCTGCCCCCACGGCCCATCTATCGCGGGGACCCGTAGAAAGTGGGGTGTTGTCTCCCTTTGCTTTCCCTGTTTTCATTTCCTTTTCCTCCTCTCCGAGGGAACGAGGGTTTGAGAGGGTGGCCTGGAGGGCTTGGGGCCTCGGCCTGAGGTGCTGCAGCCTCAGGGTGACCCAGACCCCCGCACCAGCCAGCTGGGGGAAGCCTGAGACAACAGCCCCAGGCTCCCAGAAGATGCAGCCTCCGGGTCGCCTCTGGGTCTCCAGGGCCGGCCAGGTGCACCTTGACCCTTGCTGGTGGGCGCCCGCATCAGGACCCGGCCACGTATCCTGCCCAGGTCTCCTGGGTGCCCTGAGGTCCGTCTGGCGGAGGCTCCTGTGTGCCTGGGCTCTCGGCAGGCTGCCCTCCCAGACCGCCTTCCCTCCACCCTTCCCCTCCGTAGTACCCCTGCTCCTGGGGCACCCGGTCACCCCCGACAATGCAGCCCGCGGCAGTCAATAAAGAGCAGGTGACGCAAGCAACTTGCTGACTGGTGGTCGTACTGTCTCTCTCGGGAAGTGTGGGGAGCCGCGGGACAGGGAGTGGGGGTGCGAGAGGGGCGCGGGGGGGTGGGAAGGGGTCGTCTGCCTGGTCCTTTTCAGCCCCAGCTGCTGCCAAGTGCCTCGCTCACTTCCTGCCTTCCGTTCCCGAGTGTTTCCCTGCACCCCTGCTTTGTAGGAAGGAGAGGGTTTGGTTGGAGAACCTGAGGGTTGAGGGGAGGAGGGGAGGTTGGAGAAAACGGCAGGGAATCAGGCTCCCTCCCCCAGCCTGTGGGACTGGGGTGCCAGGCGGGGCCTCGCCATTTTGCTGCTCGCCTTCTCTGGGGGGCTTCTGTCCTGGGTCCCTCAGGGTTGCACTGGAAGGACCCTGGCCCCCTTGCTCCCCAAGGGATAAGGAAGGACAGTCAAGTGTCGTCAGAACACGTCTCCCTCCCCGTGTGGGATGCGCCTCTGCTCAGGGCACCCATCCCCACCCCCCTGGCCCTGGAACAGACACCCCTCGGGGGCTTCTGGCGACCAGGGCTGAGTGTCCTGGGCAGCCTCCCCACATGGGGGGACGGCCTTCTCCAGGTCTGCCCAGCCTCCTGGCAGTGGGGAGGGGACTAGGCCTGGAGGACCCCAGCCTCCACGGAGGAGAGGCTAAGCCAGGGGCCCCACACTTGCACAGTGACCGTGGGGAAGGGGAGGGGGGCCGCCAGGTGCATCTCTGGGTGCGAAAGGTGGGCAGACGCGGGGCCGTGTAGGCTGGTAAGCTGTGTCAAGGACCCTCTCCTGGGGAGTGGAGGCCGGGGACACTGGGGACCCTGCTGGGGCCGGTGGGATGGTTCCTGGGGTGGCGCCCACGCTCCTCCAAGAAGGGTGGACCCACGGGAGAAGAATTCCTGTGAAGTCCCTGTTCAACACACGGTGAAACTCTGCGCGCCATGTTGAGTGGAAGGCAGGACGTGTAGGCATGCACGCAGGTGTGCGAGCACGCGCACACACACACACACGTGCACACTGCATATCCATCACCCTGGGCTCGGCTCCACCACAAGAAGAGTGCTTGCACCGGTGGGAGGCCCCCAAACTGTCCCACCCGCCGCCCGACTTCCCTGCTCCTCCCAACGAGAAGCGCCCCATGCGTGCTGTCTTGTCATTTAATCCACTTTTGTCAAAAACGTGGGGGTGCTCTATGTGGGGGGCAAAGGTGGCCGCTCCACGTGGAGGCTGGAGCTGGATATTTGGGGAAATCAGGGCCTCTGAAGCTCCCTCATCCTCCTGCTTCTGCCCAGATGGGCTGTCCCCGGAAGATGCCTGAACTTTTGGCCAGCGTGGCGTGTGGCTGCGTGCCTGGTGGACTGGGGGCCTGTCTGCCACGGCCAGAGCTGAGCTGTCAGGTGCTGGTGGCCTTGTGTTCGCTGCGGCTCTTGCGTGGGGCTCGGAACGGACTCAGCTGTGTCCCCAAAACTCCTGTGTTGAAGCCCCAGCCCCCAGTGCCTCAGAACGTGACTGTATTTGGAGATCAGGACTTTAATGAGGTGACTGAGGTACACAGGGTCACTAGTGTGGGCCTGATCCCAATTAACCAGTCTCCCCATGAGAGGAGATGAGGACAGACGCACAGAGGGACAAGCACGTGAGGACCCGGGGAGAAGGTGGCCATGTTCATGACCAGGAGAGAGGCCCCGGGAGGAACCAGTCCTGCGCACGCGGGGACCCAGGACGCCCAGCCTCCAGGACGGCGGGGGGCGGGTGGGGGATCAGTCAGTGTTGTTCGGGCTGCCCAGCCTGCGGTAGTTGTTACAAGCAGAGCAGATGAATGCAGGCCTGCGGATGCAGCCTTGGCCGGGCCTCCGGGAGGTAAGCTCGTGGGATCCCCAAGCATGCTCCTCGGGGACATGCAGGGGGTCCCGGAGCCCAGTCCAGGCGGAGGAGCTGAGAGGACATGCCGGAGACCTTTCCCCGCGCGCGGCAGGCTCCGCCCCAGGCTCTCTGGCAGCAAAGGCTCAGGGGGACCCCCGTGGTCTCATCTTGCTTGGCTCCCGAGACACAACTCTGTGGCCACTCCCTTCGAGGCTGCGCGTCCTGCCTCATTGTCTCTGAACTGGGGGGCACTGAAGCTGCTGGTGCTCTCTGAGAGGGTCCTGGGATTCTGGGGTAGAACAGACATTCCGAGGCCATTCACAGAAGGACCGGGGCCTGCCCCCCCCCGGGGGCCCCCAGCTGCCCCCTCCCATCTGATGCTCGCCACATCGGCAGGTGTCCTGAGTCTCCTGGTCGAGGGGCTGTTCTGGAACAGCCTCCCTGCACGGGCTGCCCAGGGGACTCCACTGACACTCTGGCCTGTGCCCGCCGTCGGTCAGGGAGGTTGTGCTGGCTGTCAGCCCCCTCTCGGCACAGACGGGCGGCCCTGGGGGGCTGCGCTCTCTGCACTGCGGACCGCATCACTGTGGCCTCTTGCGGGGCTGGCGTCGGGCAGGCTGGCCCTGGACTCCGTGGAAGACAATGGTCTGCGGGGTCCCTGCTCGGAGTCTGTGGGATTTGGCTGACAGTAGCCATGGTGAGGACCTGCCGGTCCCCCTGACCTCGGGGCAGGACTCTGAACCCCTGCCCAGTGGGTATCCCAGTGCCGCCCTGGCCGGTAAATCAGGAGGCACTGAGGAAGCCAGGCTGGTCCTGTTCTGTGGGGCTGTGGGCAGATTTATCAACCCCTCTGAGTATTAGACTGCTGTTGTCAGTGCGACCGCTCAGAGCGGGGAGCCACGCTCCCCGGCCGTCCAGGTGGCCGCCTGCAATTCCGAGCCACACCACCAGGGGGCAGCAGAGGCCTGGCCGTGGCCGCCGGACCGCGCTCGTCCCAAAGGTCACCTTCAGGCTCCCAGCCCGGGCAAGCGGCCGCCGCACACCTCCGCAGAGGGCCTGGCCCCGGCACGCCGGGCTGGGCGACTCGGAGCTTTGGGAGCCCCCATCCTGACCCCAGGGCCCTGGGGTGCCGCGTGGGAGACTGGCGCAAGGAGACACAAAAGGCCGCACAGGGATCAGTGGTCTTTGTTTCACTGGCTTGTTCGTAAAGTCATTTGAAAAAGGCGCAGAGCCGGGCTGGCAGGTCAGCGCTGTGCCGCGGGTCCCCTGGGGGAGGCTGTGGCGGGGTCTCCTCCCCCGCAGAATGACGCAGCGCATCAGCCCTCCCCGGCCTCCGCCTCCCCGGCCCCTGGGGCCTCGCCTAGGACGCCGTTCCTGGCGGGCAGCCCCGAACCTGACACGGGGGGTGCTCGTCACGGGGTCACAGACCTCGCCGGCCCCATGCTGCCCGTGGCTGCCCGGGAGCGCGAGGAGAGCCGGGGGCGCCCACGGCTCGGGCCACAGCTGGAAAGGCAGAGGCCACAGCAGAGCCCGGGGCTCAGGGGCGAGGTGGGGACCTGCTTCCTCCGCAGCCCAGGGGCCGGCCACCCCACGCACACCCTGGCCTTCGGGGTGGGAGTGGGTGTGGACAGGGGAGCCCCGCTCAGCCTAGGGGCCAAGTGCGGGCGGGGTGGCCTGGCCAGAGATGCTGCTCCCGTGTGTGGCCCCCGGCAGGGCCGGCTCCCCCGCCGCGGGGTCGACCAGGCTGGAGACCCTGCTGCAGGGTTTCCTCCAAGGCCCCGAGATGCTGCAGGGGCCGGGGAGGGGGGCAGATCCGTACCCGCGTGGGGGCCGCGGTGGTGAGAACGGAATCGAGTAGAAGATACGCTCGCAGCACGCTCACACGTGCACACACAACGCACAAGCACACAGACACGCATGCACACGCACGCACGTGTACACGTGTTCCGTGCACGCACACACGCTGGCGGCAGCCACGGGCAACCTCCAGGCTTTGTTTCCCGCCTCTCATCTCCTCAGCTTCCCTCTGTGTCTGATTCGTACTTGAACTTGAAAGACACACTCGCACAAAGACACTTCCTACCCGCGTCTCCGCCTTGAGGAAAAGCCTCCCCCTTGTCTGCTGGTCAGCGGACCCTTTTATTTGGAGGAGATTTTAGGGAGACCTGACATTCTTTGTGTTGCTGGGAGCACCTGATTGCCTTCGGATGCTTGAGATTGGCAGGAGAGAGGCGGGGGCCGTGTGCTCAAGGGCACCCCAAGGTCACCAGGAAGGAGGGGCTGCGAGGAGCAGGGGCGGCTTGCTCTTCTGTGGAGCTGTCAGCTACCGGGAGCCCGTGAGTGCTGCGCCTTCCCCCCACCGGGAGCGAGAAATCAATGAAAAAAATATATAATCTGTCTCAAAAGCACAGCTTTCCAAAGCCAGCGCACGCGTCTCCAGAGCCTGGTAAACACTGAAGGGTGGGTTTGCTGGTCCCTAACTATTGGGGTGCACGGGGCACCCTCAAGGGGAGACCAATCAGACCTGGAAGACCTAGGTGGGCGACAGGTCACCCCCCAATTCCATCTACACATCTGTGAGAACTTGGAGGCCCCATGCTGGCCCCAGCGGCTTTCGGATGGTGAGGCCACGAGCGCCGTCCCTGGAGGCCGATTCCTTTCTGGCGCTGAGAACGGGGAGCTTCGGGGTTCTCTGCCGGTCTGTGCCGAGGGCACGCCTGGCTCACTCGTGGGGACCTACCGGGCTCTGCTGCTCTTCTGCAGCCGTGGAAACCCAAGTTCAACGAGCAGTCTGAGGACGCGGGGCCTCCGCGGGCGCCCGGGATGTGAATCCCAGCCGTCTCCTCCTGAGTCTGGTCCTCGCTCTCTTAACTGTCCCACGGCCATGGCCGAACGTGTGTTCTGGGACCAGCCGCGGTGTCTAGCGGTCACGGCTGCCTGGGGCCGCCACAGCCGACAGACCACCCACTGTGCAGCTTCAGATGGCAGAAGTGTGTCCAGGAGATCCAGTGCCGGCCGGGCATGCTCCCTCCGAAGGCTCCGGGGGAGGGCCCTCCTGCTTCTCCAGCTCCCCGTGCGGCCGTGGCGGGGTCCCCACTGTCCCTGCCACCCCTGTCACACGGCCGTCTTTCCCTGTG